GTACCCAAAGGGCATATTCTTGGATCTTTCTTTGGCGTCAACCAGATGTTAGTTTTACCTCTTAACCAGGTACCTAAAGCATGTTTTACCCTGCTGTTTTTCAAGTCTCCTGGCTCAGCTCAATATTCTAGTTGATAATCAGCTCCAAAACAGATTGTAAACTAAGTTGTGGAAAATACAAATTTTACATATTGATCAAAATTTGTCCCCGCACTAGCATGACCAACGCTGATTGAGAACACGGTCAAACTCTGTTGTTGTTGAATTGGCTGGTGTTATAAATTCCTGGAAATCTCGATGCCTTCCTTATCTGTCTCCTAGCCTCACCTATGTTAGTAAAGATGCTTTTGATGAGGACTCCCACTTTTCCTACAACATACCTGAAAAGTTGTCCTTCCTTTGACCAAAACCCAAATGGAGAACTGGCATTAGGGACAATCTGCCACCTGTACCCTGGGGTGGCTTCAGTCAGTTCCAATCCCTCAACAGCATCTCCAACTTCAAAAAGAAGCCCTCGATTGCCTGTAAGACATGTAGACATCATAAACATCACAGGGCACACCTTCCCAAATTGGGGAACTACTTTATTTCAAATTACAAGGTGAAAGATGACCCAGATGCTACCTGTAAAGGTGAGTCAACTAGAGTCAGACAGAGTAGTTATATGAAAGGTTCTGTAGTTAATATGAAATACAAATGTTTCGGAAAGCAGTAAACATTCTCTGGGGTAGGAGTTAGCCTTTTTAGCAAGAGTGCCTAGAGAAGAGAACCAAGTCCTGGAGAAAATGTGAATGAGCAAACAGAAGCTGAGGCTGAATAAAAGGAGGACAATATGATTCCGTGCTTGTGACGTGGCTTGCCTTTGTGCTTCCCAAAGCCGGAAGTGGGCTTCAGCATCTTTTAAGGCCCAGTTCAGCAGGGAAATTCAATTCTCTAAAGTCCTTTTTTTCCCATAACATTGGCAATCCTTAAGTTTCTCAAGTGTCATGGCCTCAATTTGTAGACCTGCACACAGAGCCAAATATGTGCCATGCTGCTATTATGTGATATTTTAAATGATATCATATTAATTTATATTTTGCATTAAGCAAACTCCGAGGCCAAAGGCACAGGTACAATCAATATTGAATACTAACTTGGGCTAAGGGTAAAACTCTGGAATCACAGCTAGAAGTGTTGCTTTGAGCAAATTCCTTGTTGTCCTTGCATCTTCATTTTTTCTCATGCATCAAAATAGGACCAATAATAAAATAGCAAGAATACACTAGGACTAAGGGAAAATATATACTCAAAGAGCCTGGAATATGTTAAGTGCTCAATAAAGGTAATTATGGTAATTATTATTTTAAACTAACACTGTTGTTCCTCAATAACTCCTAAAAGGGAGAGGTGGATAAGGAATAAACAGAAAAGTAAGAGCGTATTTTGAAAATATTACTTTAAACCAGGATTTCTCAACCTCAGCACTATTGATATTTTAGGCTGGGTAACTGTTGTGAGGGTGTGTCCTATGCATTGCAGAATGTCTAGCAGCCTTCCTGGCCTCTGCCCACTAGATGTCAGTATCACCACCACCACCACCTCCGGTCTAACAGCCAAACAGGTTTCCACACATTGCTACGTGTGCCCTGAGGGGCAACATTGCCCCTGGTTGAGAACAACTGGTTTCCGTAGTAATTTGCCCAGCTTCTGTGGAAGAAATTTCAAAAGCCCTTCATAAAGGACATCACTAACTGTCAAAACCAGCTGCATTCAGGAAATTATCCTACCACTACCCAAGTAGCTAAAGCAGGAAATACCCAAAAAGGGAGCAGACTCTCTATTTCCTGACAGGAAACACACATTATCTCGATTACTTGTTTCAGTAGTTTTGTTTCCTTGGATGGGAGCTTTCCCTGAGTAAAAACTGCAGATCTGGGAGCTGGAGAATTCTCAAGCCAAAACTTTGAGTGCATTTTCATACCTGAATGCCCTTTCTTTAGAAAGGTTTTTTCCCCTGCTGGGCAACTTTCCTTGTAGGTGCTATGCCTCTAGAGTTGACTCTTGCTGTCTGTAGTTTAACTATTGAGTCAGTCTGTGGTTCTGAGCTGGGTAACACACCAACTGCCCTTCATCCCTCACTACACTTGAGTCTTCAGTTCTAATGCTCAGCAGAAAAGTGTTCCAGTGTTGTGCTCTTAATTTGCTGCTGTGGGGTGGACACTTTAAATACAGAAGGACAGCTGGAAGCTGCCTTGTCTCCTCCATTTCTGCCCACTTCAGGCATAACCTGGTGGCAACATCACAATACATCCCTGTTTCTCACAGCAGCAGACAGATACCCACAGGGGAGAAAAATTCATATTTAAATACATCCCATTGTGCCTCACTCTCCGGCCTTGTCTAATGTTGTTGTTTTGAGCATAGCCGAGCACACGCTAATGCTCCTGTCTTCTCAGCCAGTGGACATGCAACTGACCCATTGAATGAAGGCGGGCAGTTTGGGGGTTTCCTCCAGTAGCTATAACAATATCTTGAGGGCAGTTATGCTTTCTAGACCATGGTCTCTTCTGGACACCACTGGTCATACAGCCGGCTGGGGCTAGAAGTGCAGTGTCACTAAGCACCTGAATAAAACTAAGAGCCTTCCTGAAAGGAGAGCCTTGACAATGGGTAATCCGTGGACCCAGGCTCCACCTGATTAGCCCAGTGCAGTAGATGAAGCCACACAGAATTCAAACCCCTTTTATTCTTACTCAATCAGCCCTCTAATGATTAAACGATTAATACAGAGTTTATGAACACCTGGTTGGCGTTCTTTAACCTGCTGAGGATTGGTTGGAAAGCATCAGCATCTTTACTGCGAGCCGAGGTGGTGCACTCAATTTTTCCTGGGAGAGGAGACACGTGGTTCTAATATCACAATGGATGCCTAAAGGGAATTAAAAGAAATTTATTTGTGGTTGTTATATGGTTTTGTATAGGTATTACATACACATATAAAATTTGTTATATGTTGTGTGAATATATGGTAATAATATATACAACACACAACACATAAGAGAAGAGAGAGAGAGGGCAGTGGGGAGAAAATGTGGATGGGCAAGACCAGAAACGAAAAGTAAGAACCCAGGAATTCCTAATTTTCTTATGGCAAAGGGCTGGGTGGTAGATGGAAATAGCAAATTGCACCAAATTTTTGGAAGGAAAGAAAGAGAGATTGCCAAAGAAGGCAGCCCCGAGGATAGGGCAGATGAAGTAAATTCAGAAGGAAAAGTCATGCAATGAAATCTCTTCCATTGAAGGAGGTAAAAACTGAAAACCACTTGGCTGAAGCATGGGAGAAATTAAATGGTTGAACAGACAGTGGTGAGAACACCCTGGGGTGCCACCGACGACAAAGCATCACCTAACTACAGAACTGGCAAGAGCACAAGGGCTTTTGATAGGTCCCACAAAAGGGTTTGCCAAAGTTTCGGGGGTGTGCGGGTTTGATTTAGAAATTAAATCTGTATAGCAAAAATGCCCCCCCACTCCTGCTTTGTCCCCCTATATAAGTAGTTACAGGGAAGAAGTGAGAGGGGCCTGTTTTTTAGTAGGAGTTTAAACCTTTGTTTAAGAAGCAAGCTGTATTTCTTTTCTTTTTCCTTTCCTCACTCACAAGATGGGGCACCTGAGGGAATGCCTTATGCATTTGTTTGAAAGTGTGTCCTGCCAAGGACATCTGGTTTCTGTGACCCATGTTACTGCAGGACACGAAAATCCTACCTTTGTTTCTCAAACAACCACAATGACTTTTATCCAAACATCGAAATGAAGTTTTCAGAAAAGGGGCAAAGCTTGGCCTTCCTCCGCATCCCTCATGCCATACAAGACATAATAACTTCCTAGGGCATCTAAACTAAATGAACCTATTTCAGCCATTTAACATAGTTACTGCAATGGTAACCCTGGGCAGAATTGGTCAAAGAAGTTCCCGTAATGGGTGAATGTTCCCGTTCTTTCCCCCAAGGCTTTCCGGTTTTCCTTGCACACAGAATAATATTTGCTTGCAAAGGAGTTTAAAAAAAAAAAAAAAGTAAGCTTCCAAATATAGATCAGAATATGACCCAGATAATAATATAATAATAGGGTACATTAATAATTTATTTCTTATTTTAACTTTCTAAGTTCAGCAACAGTTGAATTTTTTTCTAGTAGTAACTGTTTAAAAATGCACATAATAAGAAAAAGACCAGAAGTATATATTATCCAGGATCAATATTTGAAAGGAAGGGGAAATGTGGAGTCGTTCATGGTATCAGCAAAAGCCCCTAGGTATCATGATGTTTTCTCAGAAAATCTGTCTCCTGACCTCAAGGACAATATTGACAAGTCAGGGAACAATAAGTTACAACACAAGGAGGAATCAACTTTGGGTACACTGGGAAAGGCTTCAGTTCACCCACATGAATCTGTAATTCGCTCTAAGCAGGAGAATGAATTTCACTGTCTTTAGGACCCTCCCATTCTTCCCCACACTGAATGCTCCTTCCCCACATGCACCTCACACCTCATACCCAGTTCTTTCATGCTGCTCCTGATTGTTTAAAACTGCCTACGGTGGCCAGGCGTGGTGGCTCAGGCCTGTAATCCCACAAGTTTGGGAGGCTGAAGCGGGTGGCAGGTGGATCACCTGAGGTCAGGAGTTCGAGACCAACCTGACCGATATGGTGAAGCCCCGTCTCTACTAAAAATACAAAAATTAGCCGGGTGTCGTGGTGTGCACCTGTAATCCCAGCTACTTGGGAGGCTGAGACAGGAGAACTGCTTGAACCCAGGAGACGGAGGTTGCACTGAGCTGAGATGGCACCACTGCTCTCTAGCCTGAGTGACAGAGCGAGACCCTGTCTCAAGAAAAAATAAAATAAAAAAGAAAAGAAAAGAAATTGCCTGCAGTAATATGACACATAGTCCCCAGAATTTAGCTTTATCTCATTCTTTCCTCTCCATTATCAAGCTTTGACATTTCTAAGATTCATTCCCTCCAGAGAAAAGAGGAGTTACATTTGTGTAAACTGAAGGTACAAAGGCTAGTGATGAATGGTTACCACTGAAAAATAGACATTTTAGGAGGTTATTTTATAATGCTTTTTCCCATGTGACAAAGCAGAGGAGACATATGGAGGCAAAGATTGATCCCTTACAGTCAGATACCAAAATTCACCGCTAATCATAATAACCCCCTGCTTTTAACCTACTATTTTAAAATTTCTTTTTTTTTACACTAGCACTGGAATTTTGTATTAGCTTTATGTGGAGATTAACACATTCTTTTGTCATGCATTCAAAATTACACAGATCAAAGACAAAACAATTTATGAAGTTCTTAAACTTTTAACATAGTTGTAGATATTTGACAATTTTTTTCAACATTCACAGAGCACCTATTATATGGTATACTAGGGATATAAAGATGAATACAAACTAGTTCTTGTCCTCAAGAAGATCAGCATCGTAAAGCAGGTGTGCAAAACTATCATTTAATACCTTGGGTTGGAGAAATGAGAGAGTATATGAAAGAACGAGAAGTTTAGGAGTAGGACGGGAGTATTGAGGTATAGAAGAAAATGTTTAGAGATGACACTAATCTGAGTCTTAAAGGATGAATTAGAAGTGGCCTAGCGAAGAGGAGAAGGAGAGGGCATTTAAAAAGGAAAGATAGCCTGAGCATGGAGAGAAGAAATTGCATAGTGCATGCAAGTGTTGCTGGAGTATGACAGAGAGAGAGATAGAGCTGGAGAAACAGACAAGGAGGATGTCAGAAGTTTGGCCCATTTCTGGTAGCGGAGAGCAAACCATCAGAGGATGGTGAGTAGGAGGGAACCATGCATCAGACATATGCTTGATATAGAGAATGTGGGGGAGGGGCTTGAAGGGGCAGAGGGCAAGTCGGGGCCTCTAGAAACCACTGCAGCATGTAACACAAGAGGTGATGGGGTCCAGAAACAGACAGTTGCTGTACAGATACATCATAAATAAGAGATAAAAACTGGCAGAAATTGTGATTGAACGGATATGGATAGGAGGAAGAAAGAGAAATCTTGGATGAATTCCAAGATTCTTCCTCCTCTACCTCTTTAGACGACTTTTGGCATAAGAAGGATAAGCACCACTTTGTCCATTTTAGAGATGCTTAATTGAGGCTCAGAAAGCTTAAAAGGCTTAACCACGCTCAACTAGTGATTGAATGTCAGCCCCTGAGGAGCTCAGCCCAGGGCTCTTCATGGCTGTCCACACCCTCTTTTCCTACAGCCTCCTCTGCTGTGAAGAAGTTCTGGCCTGTGAGTCCTGATCCCAAGAAGACATTGGCCCTGGAAATGTAAAAGCACTGTGTCGTCAGGGATACCTGTCAGCCTATCAATCATTCCAGGGTTTGATAGTGATGGGCAGGCTCACAAAAACCTTGGAGTGGAGTGGCAAGAGGAGTGTACTTCCCACCATATATTGGCTATGGACATAAGATTTGGAATTGGAACTAAACGTTCTAGCACTAAAACCTTTGGCTTTGGAAAAGATGCTTGTTTATCTGAGTCTGTTTCCTCATCTGTAAAATGGGGCTAATGTTAAACCATCTCATAGTTCAGTGAAATAAATATTGAGATTTTATGTAAAGCACTTAACAAGGTCTGACATTCTTCCTGTAGCAGCTATCACTATCACTATCACCTTGGGCGCTTCTTCAAACTTACCCCAAACAGACGAGTTATACTGTTTAAAGAAAGGAAAAATCAGGGTGAAAATTCAGCTGTTGCAGGACTAGGCTATCTAGAGGGCAAATGACATTTGCTCCATGGCCTGCGAATTATCTTGCACTTTTGACAAAGGTAGATTTTGATTGCTTCCGGAGTCTGAACCCACCTCACACAGTTCTTCAGTGGCTGTGTGACTGTATTCCATTCTAGAATCTAAGTATTCTTTAGTAGCCAGCTTTCTACTACCAAATTGAGTTCACAATTCCATGCAAGCTTCCAATTTTCACATTCTTTTTTTTTAGTATGACGGTTTACTCATCAGATGGTAACAGAACAGCTTAATGTCAATATTAGTCATAAATTGTTGAATGAATGTTCAGAGATGGATGTTGAAGTAACTGGAAAGATGTGCTTTAAGAGTTTTTAAGTGCCACCTTTTTTCTTTTACTTTCAGAACATAGAATAAAGCAAGACTCTCCTTTCTTTTATTCAGTTTATATCCATAGACTTTGTATAGAAGTATATTATCAAGACTCTTTTAATATATTAACTAAACCTGACATGGATACAAGCAATTTAATCTCAACCAAAACCACAAGGCTGTCTATGATTGTAGGGATAGCTTTGGGTGTTAATGGTCATCAAGAAATGGCCAAAAGATAGGGAAGGAGGGGCCAACGTTGAGTGAGGCACAAGGGAAGGGGTACTTCATAAAGGGGAATAGTACCTGAGTGTGTCTGGTATAGGAAAAGGTCCTGTTTAGCACTGATCAGCCATGCCTTCTTGTGGACCATTGACCTTCGAAAAAGACAAAGTTCTGTTTTGAATGAAAATAGCATCTGGGATTGCGTTTTTTTTAGTCAGCTGCCTGAAAGGAAGATTGGGATCTTCCTTCTATCGATCTTTAGAACAGTTGAAATAGCAGCTCCCTTGAATGACTAGAGAACAATACCACTGGGACAAAGTTGTTTTCTGATATATAAAATTATCATATGGGAATAATGCCTGCTTCATAGAGTGCCACAAATGTTCAATGAAATGATGAGTGTGAAAGGGCCTAGCCCTTAGTTGGCCTATAATCAATACTCAATAGACATTAATTTTATTTCTTCCAAAATGAGAACGAGAGAAAATCTCCATACTTTGGGCTGTAGAGCTATATATAATTGCCACTGTCATTACAATGCAATTATTATCAACTAGACCCTGCACTTTTAACAGAAACACTTGTCAAATTATATAGGGGCAGAATGTAAGGTAAGGATTCAGAAATCCAGAATCCGGATTTGTCACTTCAAAGTGTGATGAAAAGTGGACCCCTTCCCTTTTGAAGAAGGTACTTCCTGGATGGTACAATGTATTTCATGAAACCATGTTCCTTATAAGATATTTGTGACAGTTTTCAACCTACAGTACTTGGAAATTACTTAAGATTTAATTTCCAAAATTCTGCACCACCACCATATCAAAACACATATTGCCTACAGATTAGTGACGAGGACACAATTTTTTTCACTGAAGTAAAAAAAGTCAAGGAGGTACATGTGGTCTCATTATACTATTCTGTTTGTATATGTTTAAAATTTTCCATCGTAAAAAGATAAAGTAAGCAAGATGAGAGAGATAGATAATATAAAATGAAGACAAATTTGCCTATTTCTATACCCAGTTACTTACTTTCCTTTATTAAATACTGAGAAGCTAACATTCTGGGAGCCTGTAACACAAAGAAACACACATTAACTCAGGAATCTGCATGAATCTTCTGGGCCAGGCCATTGCTTTCATAAGCCCAAAGACTCCAACATCATCAAATTACCACCCAAACCTGTAATGTATTTACCCCCCACCACCAAAACAACACCTCATAAGCTTAGCATCATTAGCAATGTGGCCTTCTAGCAATAAAAGGGCAAATGTAGTATTGCATAGCAGGGAAGAGCCCAGGCTAGATGGAGCATCATTTAAATATTGATCTACTGGTAACTAACTTCAATTTTTCTCACCTGCAAAGCCAAAAAAATTCCACCAACTTCACAGGTGTGTGAGCATTAAATTAGTTTCTATATGAGCTGTTTCATATAGTAGTGTTTTCCAGGGAATTCTTAACAAATAGTAATTATTGTTATTATTATTATCCTCATGTGAACCAATCTTGCAATTGTTTTTGTCTGGATACAGAGAAAGAAATGGATAAGACTTTAAAATTATGTTACTTCTCTAACAGACCGATGTAATCGCCTTCCACATGGCACTGCAGAGTCCCAAGACCATGGTCCTCCTGGATAGGATAACTAAGGAAAAGACAAATGGAGGTAAGAATGACCAGACAACTCACCACCAGAAGATCTGACTCTTTAATCAGGAAAGTAGAAAGCAAAAGGAAAAACAAATTTGCCAGAGAAAATGGTAGGTACTGAAGGTATAATGAGTTCATTAGGGCAAATGCTTAGGGTATTACTAACTAGTGTATATATAGGGTAATACTAGTTAGTAATATCCTAAGCACTTGCCCTAGTGCTAACTAGTATTACTCTAAGCGTTTGGTCCTTTCTTTTCAAATGTGTCATATGACAAGTATAACAAAACCTTTATTTTAAAAAAATCTGTTATCAAGTATGAACCCCATAAAGGACAATTGTGACCAAACAAAATGCAGACACAAGGAAGACTACACACAAGTGTAGAATTTGGCTCTACTATACACCAGTCTGAAAAAGTGAAACCATAGAGTGTCATTCTTGTAATGGCCTCAAAGGAAGGGCAACCCACCCTGTCCAGAGTGAAGTAAAAATACGGTAAAACGTTGGGTCTTTAAACAGGAGAGTGTAGAAACTTATTCCCAAATTTTTAAGTTATTTCTACCTTTGGCTAGTCACTGAAGTATAGTGGTTAAGATCATGAACTCTGGGAGCTGATTAGTTAGACAAGGTTCAAATCCCAGGTCTGCCACTTGCTCTCTGTGAGACCTTGTGCAAGTTACTTAACTTCTCTGTTTCTCAAATTCCTCATCTGTAATGTGAGACTAGTAATCATACATACTCCCAAGATTATTGGGTGACTTCAATGTAAAGCATTCAAGCAGAGTTTGGCCTATAGTAAGCCCCTAACAAGTATTAGCTACGTGTTTTCAAGGAAGGTTTTGGCATCCACTTCTATATGCACTTTGAATCAATCCCTGTGTCTTTTTCAGTAGTCTAAAGATAAGGCAGTAAATAGCTATGTGTGATTTATATTTTTAAAAAAACAGATACGTGGTGAGTGGGGAGAGAAAGAGAGTGTGTGTGTGTTGTATCCATGTGGAAGAACTTACAAGCATATGCATTGGCAAGATAAATAAGACACTCACCAGCTTCCCGTCTGCCTATTTACAAGAGAGCAAGGAGTAACCCATTTGTCTCCTTGAGCTTCCAAGATCACTGGGCTGGATTTTGAAAAAAAGAAAAAAAGGAAAACAAAAGACAAGGGATAATTGTGCAATGCTCCCAATAAACATTCCTCAAAAAACCCAGAGGAAACATGGCTATGAACATTCTCCTCTGGATTTTTCTGCACTATTGCAGGTGGCTGAAGGCAGATGTCAAGTCAAATTCTCAGCAGAGTAGGGGTGCACTCATGGCTCATGCTTTCACACTAAACAGAAAATATTTCTCCCTTCCCAAAAACCTTCATAATCTCCACACTGGCTACATTGGTTCCACACAGAGATAATATTGCATTTATGCCTTTATTCCTCCTTTCAAAGACTATATCCCAGACGATGGCTAGACGATGGACCAACTAGCAAATGTGGCACATTCCCAAGGATGTAGTAGGAGTTTTTACCCCCTACAACAAGAGTAGTTTTCTAGTAAGGTAGGTTGACCATTGCTTAATGCCAGAAATGTAAATCCTGAGAGTAATCAGATCATGTTCTCTTCAACTAGGGCAAAATCAGACAAATGGAATAGAACAGAAGAGGATGCCCCCAACCCATCCCAAGTGAAGGAAAAATTAGACACCATGTATAGAATCTACGCAGCTGAGCATATAGTAAGATTATTTTCTGTCTACCTTATAAATCCTCAGTACAGTTGCTTCATTTGTTGAATGATTACAGTTGCTTAGAGCTTCTTACAGCCTCTACAATTTCAACACTTTTTGTCTTGTTCTCCTCTCTCTCTAGTGTGGATGATTTAATAGTAACACTTTCCACCACATCTCCGGTGAAGAAAGTCATGTTGACATCCTAACCATTCCCAGAAAACATTAAAAGCTCTATGGCTTTTAGTACCTGTGTCCACGTTTTCCTCTGATCCCACTAATACAATTTTTAAAGCACAAATGGATAATAACCAAATAAGAAAGTTATAATGGGCTTTTGGGTTTACACATCATTTTATAAAGAATCTATTTCAGCCTCAGAAACAAAGGAAGGAAGGGTGAGAATTCAAAAAGAAAATCCACAGATGCAATTACAGTTCATTTCACACTGAGCCCAGAGTGACTAGTTGTCAGTAAATAAATGGACCAACTTAATCGACCAGTTGCAATTACATTAGCAAAGTTTGCTGAAGCCCAGCTCATGAGGGACCATAAACTGCAAAGAGAGGAAAATAGCAATTCTGTGCCAACTGCTTACAATTTATTGCCATCAGGGAAGCTGGTCCCAGGAAGCCGTGCAGCATGTATGTAACTAGTTAAACACAAAAACAAACACACGCTTACCTATCAATGTACTCAGCATCAAAATCAAAAGTTTCCAATCTTCCGGTCATAATCCAGCCATATACATGTATTAGTTTTCCTGTTTGAAGAAGGAATTTTTTTTTTAATTTAATGGACTCAGCTCAAACTCAATGTATAATTTAAAAAACCATGTTTCTTTTTGGTTACATATACTCAATATGGCAAAACAGGTCATGACCCAGAAAATTAATACTTTTAATAAATTGTACAACAGTAAGGTCAAGAGTATGATTTAGTGATAAATATTATACAATATAAAAGCTAAAATAAGCTATTGTTTCCATCACAGACTTAATCATCTATGCATGGAGCACAGAAGGAATAATGGGTCTTCTTCACAGTCTCAAAGTGTGAATGTTTCAGAAAGAAGGGGCTCGTCTCCACACACTGCCCTGTTCCATTCTCTTGGCTCTGTGGGGACCATCCATCCAACTGAGATTTAAGAACAATGTGCCTTGGGTGCTCCAGGCTTCATGAGGCTTTCCTCTGGGCACTTGCTAAAATGAACAGGCTTTTCATATGAAGAGGCTTATATCACACAATCTGATGGGTCTTCAGGGATCCCAAGTATATGCCTTCCAAATAATTAGAATATTTAACCGTGTCTACTTAAACCATCACAGGCAATGTTTACAGGTGACAGAATGTGGGTTAGGGAGATAAACCTCAAGTCAAAGAATAGAATAGAAAAGGGTACTGAGGGACTAATGAGGTCATGAAATCCAGAAAACTGAGCCTCTTTATAGACATTGAAGGCCACCAAAGAATGCAACCAAAAAGATGTTCCCTTCATATTGCACTTGTGTGTTATTAATAAGAAGTGACTTTCATCTGCATCTTTAGTGAATGACTCTCACTAAAATAATAGAAACCTTCCGGAAGGTATTACGGCCACCATTTTGTAGGTGCATGGGTAGAATGACCTAATAACAGGCAAAGGTCACAGAGTTGGCAGAAACCCGGAGTCTCAAGTTTTCTGTTACTGCTAAAAAAATTCTGGCAGAATAATTCTAATTTCAATAGGGCCAAATGATCAATTCCCTAGCCTTGGTGAGTATGACTTCTAGCTTTGACAGGCACAATTTTAAAACTAACAAAAGGTTGTAGAAATTAGGAATTTCTGTGGGTTTTTGTTTTGTTTCTAAACAAAGATAGCCAACAGAGGCTGACAAATGGCCACACCAGAACACGGTGCTGGGGGATTCAATGTCGTACTGGAAAACTGCTAACCACATATACAAACCCAACTGCTCAGAAAGCATCACCCTTCTTGTCCCTACCACCTCCCCCATCTCCCTGGCTGCTACACTGGGCAGGCTTCCCAAATGAAATGAGAGTATTCATCTGGAAAGTGATTATAAAGATGCAGCTGTATGAATCCTGCCCAGGGGGACCACTCCAACCCAGCCAGCCACCAATCCTTTCCCCAGAAGGTGGAAGAGACACGGAGCAGAACTCCAGCTTGGTGGGAGAAATGGGCTTGGCAGATCTGGGTGCCAGCTGACATTCCATTTCACACCTCTAATGGCCGGCTGCTTCCTCATCCCTCACCCTAACATGACTTCTGCTATCTAAACAGGAGTTTCTAACACCAGAGCAGCAGGGACCCAAATGACTGCATGTGATTTTCACAGACCACATCCCTCTTTCATAAAATATCAGGTCCTGATTATTCAGACAAATGGAAAGGAACAGATCTGTGAAAAACCCGCATGAGTAAGAGCATGCCAAATTCACATTCTCTGAAATATAATTTAAATTCACTCATACATAATCTGTGTCTATACACACAAACATAGAACATATAAAACGCTTTTCAATAACTTAGATCTTCATTCTGACATGCTTGAGCAGTTGAGCCAATCAAAACAACAAGATCCATCTATGCATTTAGACACAACTATAATAAAAATTCAGCAACTTTTTAGCATACTCATACCATTTTGGAAACCCTAACAAGTGGAAAACCTTAAATAAAGGTAGGAATTTGGCAGGAATCAGACAGCAAATTATATATAATCCTAGTTGTGTTTACTACTTAGTTTTAAGGCAGATTTAGCAATCCCTGAATCCACTTCTCAGTTGCAATCCCTTCTTTTATGTAAATCCCCCAGCTTTATATAATCTTCTTTTCTATCCTCCTGGCTTTTATATATCTGTGTGCTCTCTAACTTTATAAACAAAACCCCCAGATGAAGACTAAAGTTAACGACAAAATGGTGAATATATGGGCCACTCTGGATTCTGGCTGTCTCGTTCAAATCTCAACTGTGGTATTTATTATCTGTATGACTTTTGGCAAATTCCTTAACCTTTTGCTACCTCATTTCTTCATCTGCAAAATGGGAATAAAAATAGCTCTTCTATTATCAGGTTTTTGCGAGGATCTAGTGAGACATCTGAAGAGCTTAGACTGGATCCTGACACACAGTTTAATAAAGGTTTATTATTATGTGAACGATTATAAAGTTAAAAGCAAGGATGACTCCTCTTTCCTCCAGTCTCCAACATCAACTCATTTGATTTTGCTGTCCTCTTTTTCTTTTCATGTTTGCATTCCTTTTGTTATCAGTGAAGTAACAGAGCAAAAGTGCCCAGAAGTAAAACCAAAGCACGTTAAAAATGAACCAGAGGTTGAGTCTAATTTTCAAAACAGCATCAAAGAAGAAGCTAAATTTTCCCACTCATAAAAACCACTCACCTAGGTTTGCAACAGGCTTTGACAAAGAGATTCACAATTATTCCTATTTTAATAGAAGATTTCTTACCTGGAACTCCACTTGGCGGATAAACTTGGTGAACGATGGGTGTCTGCGCCTTGGAAAACTGTTTAGCAAATAGTACCACAAGTGAGCATGTCATTAAAATATTCACAAACACAAGAGGCACAAGCCATTCCTCAGACAGCATTACTTGAAGGTAATAAATGGTTACATTTCCTTGTGTCACCCTCACATCTTTCTAGTTCTTTTTATCCTTGTAATATTTCTATGAAACAGGAATGATGGATATTATCATATTTCTCCTATAGATGAGGTAGAGGTAATTTGATTAAGGTCACATAGCCCTCTATTCTGTACCATATTGTCCAAACCTTGACAAGCCTATTTCTACCTGCCCACCTTCCATACCCAAGAACACATGTTACTAGAAGGAAAGGTAGACAGGTCTTCATGCAGAACATCAGTCTTTTAATTCCATTGTTGTAATTTGATGTTTTGAGGCCTTGAAGATTTTGATTTTTCTAGAAAGGAATGCACTTATTTAATTGAATCAAAACTTAAATCATTAACAGCCAGCACCTTGGTAGGTATCAGTAAGCTACAAAAAATGAGAAGCTGGATAGGTACACAACTGAGGCACTTACTAGAGAAGTGGAAGGTACCTGCTATGAGGAAAATGACTCAAAAGATTCAAGGAATGGGAAGCAACATTGTTCTTCAAGAAGGAGGAAAGCAGCATCAATGGGAGCAGTGGGAGCCTGAGAAAGCCTGGCAGTGGCACTCCAAATCATCTTACAATGCTCCCTGTCCCCAAAGCACACCCTCTGCTGACCATAAGCTCCATAAAGGCAGGGACAATGCCTGACTGAGTCGCTGCTGTGTCTCTGTGCATAGACTAGTATGTAGACGACATTCGAATTTTTGTGAATGGATAGACTCGCCCAATCTGGGATGACTGATATACTGCCTGGAAGGAGAGGTGAGAATGAGACAATCTCAGGAACTCCATCTCACCTGTAGTCATCTGGGTTAATCTAAAATTAGTGCATTACTCCATCAGGAAATCACACCAGGGCCAATGTGATGGACAGACCAAGGCTTGACCTGTGAGCCAATGACTTACCTAGGAAGAGACCTAGTCTCCTCCTCCCTCCCCCTCGCCAACCCCTTCTAGATGCCTAGACTACCACCATTCCATACAACCTACAGTGCTTCCCATTTGCAAAACAAATTACAGCAGCAAATTGTTTTGTTTGGTCTTCTTTCAGAACCTCAGGATTCCCAGAGAGAATATCACCAAACAATAACTCAGTTGTTAATCAACAGCCCTAATCAGACATTGAGAATCAACAGACATTTCAACAAAGCTGATGGTGGCTTGCCAGGCATAGGTTTTAAGTATTGATCCATATGCTGTATAGTCTGCCGTGAAGGCTAATTTCCTCACTTTCTAAAGGAAAGGGTTAGAAAATAGTTCACAGAAAATATGTGTTGTCAGGGGGTCAGAATAACAATGTTGTTACTTCACAGCTTGGGAACTGGCTCTGATCACACCAAAAGATAAAGATTAATACAGTTACACACACACCTGCCAAACATTCAGTCCCCACCCCAGCCTCCCAGCCAACCACTGCCCCTAGGCCTTCATACCAACATTATTTCAACTGGACTATATCATAGGAGCCTAGTGAAGTACAGTAGTGGTTATTGACCTATCTCACAGATGTTTAGAAGCTGAGGCAGCTGGAACAACTGAGTCCAAACCAAATAAGGAAGCATACCTCTCTATTTCAACCTGAAATCTAAGAACCAGCACTCAGTCTGTAATCCTTCTACCAGACTTCCATGGGAAACAGAGCAACCCCTTTATTACTCCCTCCCAGCACCTGAGATTGTGGTGAGGCAGCCTTGGGGTTAAACCTCAAACAGGGCTTCACTTGTGATTCTCTCTGAGCTGACATAACGTAACATGGTACATTTCTAAGAGAAACAGGCCCCTGGTCACCCACCAGGCTAGAGACATGACAAAGTGAAAAATTAATGAGCTTCCAAATCAAGCTTCCCGCATGCTGATCCTCAGGCCCCAGTGTGGTCAGTAGAAGCAGGAGAGAGGAGAGGAAATACAGCAGATTAGGATGAGAAAGCTGCAGCCACCAGCTGTGTGATCAACCTTCTGTGAGTTATTCAAACTTGTCAGCGCCCACAGCAGGCCCTTTGCAGTGGACTGGCAAGATGGGATTAATTTTTAATACTCATGGTTCCCCAGTCCCAGTCCCAAAACAAAGAGACACGCCGTGTTTTATTTAGCTTGGAATGCTTCTCATTAACTGCATCCCCTGGTGATTTTTCATCAACTTGCCAAGATAGTTGAACCACTGACGGACTTGTTTTCTTTCATGTGCAATTTTAGGAAGTGTTTCTTTTATTTCCCCCTCTCGCTCCTAACCAATCTTTCAATAAGCAGGAAAACTACCATCTGGGGTGAAAAGGATCATGGTGATTAAGAAGCATGCTTGGACTTCTCTCTTCTGTTATGTTCCCTGAGACAGGATAGAGGTGGTGGTGCGGCTCTTAGTAAGAAAGAATGATATAATGTTTTTTCTTTCTGCTGCATACGTGCAAAAGCAAAATTCCAGAAAACAAGATTCTCTTGGATTAAGAAACAAGTTATTAAATGTGAAGCAACAGCAAATTCCAAATTTCAAAAACAAATAGCCTATATGGAACACAGATCGTAGGAGAGACGAATTTACAAGGCGAAGCCTTATTCTGAAGGAGCATTCATTAGTGACTGCATTGTATGTTTTGAAACAGCTTTAAACAGAGGTACTCCAGGTGAAGTGCAACCACATTGACAGAAGTGCTGCCAAATCTCTGCCTTTCATAAACCATCTAGGACTTACCTTTTCGGAGATCGTTTAAAACTAATCTGAAATGGACAATAGACTGAACCAAATATAAATGAACTCCCAGTATAGGTATCAAGGCTGTAAAATAAGACAGGCATGGCTTCCTAAACTGTCTCTCTCTTTCTCTACTTCCTTTTTGATCTCCCCCAGCAAGAAGGAGAATTCAAACAGCAAATGCCCTTTTGGTTCAGTGTTGGAAAGACTTAACAGAAATATACCAGGAAGCAGGGAGAGGGGTAGAAATTGGGTCTCCTCACCAAGAAATGTGGGTCCTTGAGTATCTTCACCATGCTGAGACTCAGCATGATCCGAGCTGTAAAATGAAACACTGATCCACAAAGGTAATCTTGGTGGCCCCTCTATGGGCTTCCGTTTAGATGAGAATTTAGAGTCAGATGCAGGTTCAAGTCTTGGTTCTGCCAGTTTACTACCTGATGACATGGGCAAATTATTTAATCTCCCTGAGCCTCAGATTGTTCATTTGTAAAAACAGGACAGTGAAGAGCTACCCCATAAAATTGTGAGCATTGAATTAGATAATGTACATAAAGCATTTAGCTAAAGGCTGACATACAAGCGTTCAAAATTCATCTTTCATTAGTATGATCTAAGAAACTCTCTCATTACTATCCACCATTTTCTTTTAACACGGTCAAGTAGACACTGTGGCTCATTTACAATTTGCCTTTCAATAACACAAGCACACCCTCAGACTATGTAACCATACCTTCCTCCAACCTTAGAACCCACCTTGAAAGTACAGCTGTCTCGTGGTCCTGGACTTGGGCTGCTTACCAACTGTCCCCCGAAGTATGCTTCCAGGGAGTACAGACCCTCGTGTGCTTCAGACAGCAGAGATCTGAGGACAGAAAGTGGAAATCCTTATGACTCAAAAGCCATGAATTCCCAAAGCTAACAGCCCACTTGCCACTTCAAATTTCCTCCCTGAACTTGTAAAACAGAGCTAACCAAGGATTCTTATCAGCCACCTTTCACCTTAGATCCAATCATAATTATTAGACTTTAAGAACTGAGTCCTTCAGCAAAAAAAAGTTATGATTTTTTGTGTTGAAACTCCCTGAATTGTTTTTAATATTTCATGTTTCTCAGAATCATAGGTTCATCGGACTTTAAGAATTAGAAGAGACTTTGATAATTCCCCATTTTCATGGTTTAAAAAATGTCAGAAAAACTAAGACACTTATGTGTAGGAGCTTCAAAGGTTAAGGGCAAAGTGGAGCTTGAATCTAGCCTCTTTCTGATAATTGTCCAAGCAGCCCATAAACACTTCATGTAGCCATCAAAACAGAGTCCTGGATCTTCTCTCCTCTACATAAATTTTGCAGTGGCTTCATTGCCACCTGATGCTGACATCCATGTTGATTTTTGTAAGAGGAAGAATACGATGAATAAGAAAGAAGCTATATTTAAGATGTGTCTCCTCTCCAAACCTTTCCAACAAAATCTTTAGTATGACCTTAAATATTTAGATCTGAATTGTCCATTGTGTTAGCCACTAGTCTTATGTGCTTATCAAGCACTTGAAATGTGAGTAGTCCCAATTAAGATATGCCATGATTATAACATCCACACTAAATTTTGAAGACTTGGTATGCAAAAAGATATAAAGTATCTCATTATTAATTTGTATATATTACATATTGAAATAATATTTTAGATATGTTGACTTAAATAAAATACATTATTAAATTATTTTCACTTGCTTCTTTTGACTTTTTCAAGTGGCTAAATAGAAAATTTTAAATTACGTTTGTGTTCACATTATATTTTGATTGTGAAGTGCTGCTTTTGACGCTGCAATGGCTGTTTTAGAGAAAACAATTATGTGTTTTTATGATAATGATGAGTAAGACAGTATTTTGTTGATGATAAACTGTACATTTTTCACACTTAATTGAATCTGATATTTGTCTTCCAATCAATTAGTATATTTAATAGAGTCATATTTCTTTTCTTTAAAAAGATGACATAAAATCAATGGTGCATCCGAAAATCATTAGTATATTGGGATAAAGGAGATAGGACATGTAAATCTCCAGAGCTTTGACTTATTTTACGGCAAGACTTTGCAGAATGTCTATGCCCAAATGCACCATAAAACCTAAGGGAAATATATAACCCAGTTTTAAAACCAATAGTAGTGCTATAAAAAAGTTAAACTCAACAGACATTTATTGAACATCTTCTATTCTTAAGGTATTGCGCAATGCATCATGAGGACTACAATGGTGAGATTAAACACACTCCCGGCCCTCAAAGCACTTAATTCTGTGAGGATGAATCAGACAAGTGGGTAACTGACATGTAAGTGTTATGAGAAACTCAGAGCTGAGGCACAGGGTCACTAAGGCTACACATGTTGTACCTTTGTGTAAATTACAAAAATAAAAAATTCCTTCAGGGGTGATGAATTGCACAAAAAAGTGTGGGTGCACACACATACACCCTGTGGACGAATTACTACAAGCTGTTCCTTCTCGTTTCAAAAAAGGGAAAGAAAACTTAGTTGAGTGTTCAGGGAAGAGGTGGCATATGTGGTATGATTGGTGATTTTGATAGCCAAACATGGAAGAGGGGGAGACTTCCTCAAAGAGAGAACAGAAAAGAAAAGGAAATAACGTGGTTTTTTTTCTCTTAACCAATCATCCACTTTTATGCACTTTATTTACTCATGCCTAAGACATGAGTAAATAAAAATGAACATGAACTAGTCTAAACTTCACAGGGCAACAAGAAGTTGAGTAGGAAAATAGATTCCCTGGAGTCCTATAAAAATATTTTCTAGAAGTAATGTCAAACTCAGCAAATAGAGCCTAAAGCAAATTTCCTTTCTAACCAGTTTGGGGTTTATGTGCAATCATTGTAATTATGCCTATTCCAAAAGATGAGTATTTGCAATGGCAAAATGGCACCATTTATTAAAATCTTAATAGCCATAGAACTCTGCAAAAAGAAAAAAAAAATGGAAACACAATCCAGCCCCTCCTTATGAATATCTCAAAGTTCTTCCCCATACTCTCATCCTCCCTTAAGCTCTAGATCCCAGCTAGGGACCTTTTAGAAAGTATATTCACATGAAACTTTTTTTAACAACTATAACTGGCAATTGAATCACAGCAAAAGTTGCTCTAATACGTCACCAAAAGATACTGAGATAAGCAAAAATCCCTCTTCCTGTCTGGTCTTCCTATTCCCAGACAGTTATACCTGGTCCGGCACGTCACCACAGGCAAATCCAAGAAAACAGGAAAGACGTCACAGGGGATACTCGGCAGTGCGGGCGCCACCATGTTCGTGTTCACCAGGTGTATCTCCAATTGAGAGCCATTGTTAGGGTAAAGAACACCCGACTCCAAACCTAACGCAAGGGAAAGAAATCTCAGGCTGAATAGAATTGTCATCGACACAGGATAGTGTGAAACTGTGCTAAGATCCTAGGGGCAATGTAAGACATTAATTTACCCAAGGATTAAATTAATACTCCTAATTTCCTCATAGCTTCTGTATAAAGGAGTTTTCTCATTTATGATTTTATGAAAGAGTTTTCTCTCTTCAGGTTCACCTAAATCCAGAAAAGAATTTTTCAGCCCTCAGATTTACTCTTTACTCTGCTGGGGATGGATATTCAAAGGAATGATGTAGAAGCTCCCAAGTAGAGGACTGTCTTTAAGGAAGATAGCCAAGGTTCTGGGAGATGCATTGCTGAGCACTATGCTACACACTTCCACATCATCTCATGCAGAAATCCCAGAGTCCCATCCCACAGCCTGGAATGGGAAAGTGGACACAGATGTGTCATGGCACACTGTGCTTTGCTTCCGTGACATTAGCAAGCCAGTATCTAGAAAGACAGAAGTTGGTCCATCTGTTCATCTCCCTTCAGGCCCACTTTTACACCTGTCCTTAGACAAGGAAGAAAACCAAAGACTCACATTCTTTAGGATTGTGGGTCAATACGTAAGAAACATGCACTTGGTAAAACCCCAACCTACCATCAAAAATGACTGTAATCCACGTTCCCCCTGCAAGGCTACCTTCTTCAGGTTCAATATGTAAACTCAGGTGAGGTACTGTAAGTAAGTGAAAAAAAACATTGGTTTTGAAGGTCAGATTCAACCACTACCTTCCCCAATATTTTAAAGCAAAATTTAACCTGCATTAGAATCACTAGAAAGGTTTGATTAAGCACAGGTTGCTGCACCATATCCCCAGAGTTTCTGGCTCAGTAGGTCTGGGGCAGGCCCAAGAACTTACATTTCTAACCAGGTGCTGCTGGTGTGGGAAACACATCATCGGAAGCCTCATTTTAAGGAAAATTTTAACCAATTCTTCTCATCTTAGACATTCAAAAACCCTGCATTCATCAGGACAATTCTGAATTTCTACTTCCTTTGGAAAGAGCCTCAGGGACATATTTGGGTCCTAATGAAACCCATACTATCTCTCTGTGCTCTCTTTTCCACTCTTTAATCAGGTGGCCATATTTCCCTGTAAAGATCACCAATTATCTCCAGTCCCAGAGAGAAAAAAAAGACTTCCATTAGGTTTGTGCAGAAGTAATTGCTGTTTTGTATTCTTTTTAATGTCAAAACTGCAATTACTTTTGCACCAACCTAATAGAAGCTGTTCCTATTTCAATTCTCCTGCTTAATATACTGTCCTCTAGTTTCCCCTCATGATGAGAATGTCTTCCCAAATGAATACAAAATTCCCTAGATTTTTGCCGTGCCTGCTGAGAGAGGGGATGAAGCATGGATCATTGCTGGAATTTCCTTTTGTTTTTAAAAAAAAAAAAAAAAAAAAAAGCAGTAAGGAATTTATATGCTAGGCTAGATTGGATTCTCCCATATAGATCACCAGCTAAGCATGGGCCTTAATCCCTCCATCTTTGAAGATGTTCCTGGACATGCCTTGATGAAGGAAAGGCCAAGTTAAGGAAGCCAGCAAAACTCACTCAGCTGCTCAGTGAGGTAATAAACAAGGAAAGTGTTACCGACAGAACTATTTATAGTTTCTTTATCAGAAACTGTGTCTAGCCCAGGACTTCCATATACAGTTATTCTCATGACGCACTTCACATCTGAGGGTGGTGGGGAACCATGGCACATTAGCACAGCCATTTATGGCAGCCCCAGCCAGACTAGACCTTCCTCCAAAGATGATTAGATACCTCTATCTAAAGAAGCCCAAAAACAAATGCCATAAAAAATACAGAGGATAACCCCCATTCACAGAGAAAATTGAACAGATGATTTGAGATAACACAAGCAGTCTAATTATTACGACAAGTTATTCTCTTTGGGAAGGTCGGGCAGTAAAATCTAAAAAGAATTACATCACGTAGCCCAAAAGGAATTATAAAAGAAAGATTATAAGTTATTGTTAAAAGCTCTGCATCATCACTGGCCATTAAAAACTGAAGTATACAGTCATAACATTTCAGTATGTAACCTCAACTGTTAAACAACCAAAAAAACCAATTATCCAACAGATAATTTAAACCCAAAAGCAAATACTTTAACACCTCCTCTAAAAACAATATTTTTAATTCAATTTTTTGATTGGCAAGTTAAAAATGCATATATTTATGGTATACAACCAAAATAATACTTCAAGTTTCAATATTAGTTCTCAAGGTAACCTATTGTGTTATCTATAACTCCTTCAAAACACATTCTACTGACCTGCCAAAAGTAGTGCTTCAACACCCATCAGAGAGATCAGCCACGCAGTCATCCTGTCCACTTAAATCAATACTCTTAAGATTGCTCAGACATTAAAAACATTTTCAGTTTTGATTGGAGCAGCATAGCTTTTGTGCCTTCTAAAAAATAAAAGACGCAAAAAAATTACCATTTTGTTTACATACTATTATTTTGCTATACTGAAATCTGGAAAATTAAGGAGATGAGGTAAACATGGCCTTAGTGTCTTCAAATGGACCCACCATCTTTCCAAGTTCAGGAGAAAAGGATCGTCTAAGAACCTTGCATAAAATCATCCCCACTCTGCCCTCCATGTGCCACCAGCTTATTGTATGCGTGTCCCATCAACTCATTTTAAGCTAGATAAATAATAATAACCTTTTTCATTAACTCATTATTGAATAGAAGCATGCTTTAAAAAGAATTCTAGAAATTACAATTCTAGTTCTTGGTGGGGTGGAGTCTGTTTTGCTTTGCCCTGTGCTGCCGTTCCAGCTTTCTCTCGTGCCGCTCTCCAGTTTGAACCCTGCACTGCAGCCACGCTGTTCTCGCCTTCCACACCATCAGCCTCTTGTGGGCCCTTGGTCCACCTTTGCTGGTCCCCTTCTGCTGGATTCCCTGCAACTCTTTCTCCGTGGGTCTCAGGAGA